TATAAAGAGATTTTGTTATTTAACGATCTTGAATTAAGAAGACAAAAACGAAGAAAATCAAAGTTAGTAGATGTAATAGATGGCGTAGATGATGTACACCGATCAGAGGTATCATAACATTATTACATTTTGGCAATTATTATTATGAAACTAGTTTTACAGACAAGATACAAGCTAGTTTAATTGTGCGTCAAGACCAAACATAGTGTAGTGAAATCAAAAATGAAAAAAAGCTATTATTTTGTTTCACAGGTTTAATGAAAACTACTCTACTGATGAGGTATAATTGGATGTAAATCAAAATATTATACTCCTTTTTAATACCAGGAAGTCTTTAAAGCAGAACTATTAATTTGATAATAATATTTAATAGTTGTGACTGAAAATTATTTGAAGTTGATGCTCACTGTTACAATATGTGTACTTCCGGTGTACCACTTCCGGTATGCTTACGTAATAATATCTGTCAATCATGTTATATATCATAAGCACATGTAATCTACAAGRKACTCAGWTCAAATAAAGATGGCTTACGGTCATTGAACTCGTGAAACACTCACTGCATGCTAAGATGAAGTGGAAAGGGGAGCTGAATGAATCAGAAGAGAGGATATTTATTGAGTTATAATATTTTGCTTTTTTACTACTTTTATTGCTTCCTTCATTGCTAGGTCCTCTGTTCACTGTTCTCTCTTCATTAAAGCGGATTAATAATGTAAATGTACATCTCCTTCTTCGTCTAATAGTGAAATAGAGCCTTTACTAAGCCTCACACTCTTTAAGTATCATTGACAGTATGATTTATAGTTTCCTTATTCCCAAACATTTGAAAATTATAATATTATTAATAGGTATTAGATAAGATTCAATTAACATATGCAAGTTAGAGTGAACATCTTGGGAATCAGTCTCGAGAGCCAGGTTATTCAAACCTCCTTTAGACTTAGTGCTAGTCCTGGGATAACTCTTAAAAAACCTATGGAGTTAACCCTGGATTTTAATAGCACTTATCAGACTTTGAACAAACCTATGGAGTTAACCCTGGATTTTAATAGCACTTATCAGACTTTGAACAAACTGGTCCAGGCTTTTTAAAATAAGTAACACTCACCTGACTCACGTAAGCCTTTGCCAAAGTTATCCACAACAAACTTAAGTGAAATCATCACAAGGACTCTGATTAGAAGTGCAAAGATTGCTTGGAAAATACAATAAATAGAAATTAAAAACAAAAAGAATGATAACACATTGCCATTGCTGTAATCATAGTAATATAGTTTTGCAGCTATCATGATGCTAAGTATATTAAATAGATGTAGTCCTTGACACTTCTAAAATAAAATCCATTAATATTCAATGACTGCATGCAGTGACATATATTGAATAACATGCTGCCTTTTTAACAAATTATCATTAGCATCATAATATCATTACCTACAATAACAAATGGGTAAACAAGAGTACTTCTAGAACCACTTGTAAGATTATCCCAATTTTTAATAACCTAGTATGAAAAATAATGGAAATCACACCAAATGACAAAACATTACTTTTTTCCAGATATTGTTGGTTTAATTGACTATTCCAACAAATTAAACATAGCCATGCTATTAAGCAAATCTAAGGAAAAGTACGCAAACTTGCAATAGCTAAAACCTGTGACTAATGTCCTAGTCAATGGACCTAATTCTATACGAAATGTAGCTGCATTACTCCCTGGTGGCTCGCACAGCTCAGCAATTAATGTTTGTTTGTTTCTACTCTCATTGTAAAATGAGATTGCCGAGCACATTGAAATTATTCCATGCAGTTACACATTTAAGAAATTTTTTTCAAAATGCTGCAGCAACTCCCCTTCACGGGAGAGTTGAAAACACTGACCCCCGGTCCGCGGACCCCTCCATGGACCACCTTCACGGACCACCAATGAAAACATTGCAAATGCCAAATAATAGATTTGACAATAACTTATTTTGCATTTGCTCATCCAATAAAGGGTGTTATGCATGCTAGTCAATTGAAACGCTCGCTTCCCAACCCCCGGGAAAAACCGCGAATTTAATGATTGAGTGGCGTTGAAATAAGACGTTTACCCCAGGCACATTCATTGGTAAAATCCCCGCTAGACTTGTCCCGCTATTTTGGTCTAGTAGTAAATAACAAAACAAACACCTTTCAGTCAATGTTTTTACTACATTGAGGCTATGGACTGTGTAATAAGTTTCTTTTAAAAAATTTTCATAAAAGGAAAAATAAACAAATACAAAACAAGGTTGAATACATGCTTTCAGAGTATTTCTCAAGATTGGTCGACCTCTACGGTTTCCAGGCTCATAAATGTCCAAATGAGATTTAAAATCCCTCCCCGCTTCAAAAACAATTCATCAAAATCCAGACCCCCGGCCAATCCTGCTGATAAAAGCATGTCACTATTTAATACTCCGCTAGTTCTGGGAGTTGGGGACGGGGTTTTCAATTGACTTGTGCATTAAGTTAATGATTTTACCTTTGTCACGTCAGTCCTCTACACGTTATATTTTCATTTGATTTTTTTTAATGCAAATCTGCACACTATAAATCAAGCTGTTTAAATTTCAATCTATAATGCGGAAAGCTTAAGATCGAAGCACAAGTGATTGTGGTTCCAAAAAAACAAACAAATAGAAGACTACTGACGTGACAATGCGGCCGACCGACAACGTGACAACTGTGACAAGACAAATCATTAACTTAACACCCTTTATTGGATGAGCAAATGCAAGATAATCCTTGTCAAATCTATTATTTGGCATTTGCAATGTTTTCATTGGTGGTCCGTGAAGGTGGTCCATGGAGGGGTCCGCGGACCGGGGGTCAGTGTTTTCAACTCTCCCCCCCTTCACAGCCTTGTTGCGATTCCACTGTAGCTGGATTGGACAAAGGAAACCATGACAGGGGATCGTACACTTTCCACACACTGAATATTTTGTTTGGTATTAGTGGACCAATGCCACACAGGCTTCGCGATTCGTGCGATATCGACTTTACTCGTGAATTCAACGCGGAATTCACTCGTCACCCAATGAATTTACCTATAGAATACCGGTCAATTCGCTAYCWGTCAATTCGTTACTCATCGTAACGAATGTTGAGTCGATTCGCTACGTGTTCATATAATATATAATAATCATAAGTAATTTGTCTATAGTCATAAATCCACTATTGAATGCTGAATGAACTGAGTTTAACTTGATTTTAATCAAGCTAAAGCGAAAWTTTTCTTCTCACGTAGTTACTAAAACATGGAACGAACCGAAACCAGCCAKAGCCAGCCAAAACGACTGTAAAACCAGCCAAAACGACCCACAACCAGCACAAAACCTAGCCAAAACCGCCAAACAACTCAGACGGCAAAAGGCTATTCATACGKTACCGTAAGCCGAGTTTGTTTTCTATTCGTACGGACATTGTATATATTCTGAAATTTTAAAGTAATTATATAAGATATCCATTTTAAATTACTATAATTTTGTTTAGAGTCAAATAATAATATGAATACGCTGCAAACTTCGCGATTTTTCCGTGCACATTTAGCCCGGCATAGAATACATCGGCGCGAAAGTGCTAACTTATTGCATGAAAATGCCCTTACATGTATTTCAAATCTTCAAGCAATACAAATATATGACTCATTTATATCTATTAAAAACAATTATTTACAATACTTAAGTCTCTTTTCTGGAGCAGAATTTGAGTTGGAAGGAGGTTGGTGAAAAKTTCCGTATGCCTAGACTGCGTGACTTATTCGTACGGACATGGAGTTTTTAATGCGGCTATTTCCACGAAAAAATGATTAATCATAAATTCATACACTAAAAAAGTCAAAAAATTGTTCAACATAACAGGTATTGAGAACATAGTAGTCACATTTCTGCTTTCCGTGTCTGATATCGAAGTTTACGATGTATTCTAGTATGCCGGGCTAAAATGTGCATGGAAAAATCGCGAAGTTTGCAGCGTATTCATATTATTATTTGACACTAAACAAAATTATAGTAATTAAAATCGATATCTTATATACCGTATTTACTCGAATAAACGCCGCCCCCCGAATAGACGCCGCCCTCAAATAGGCGCCGCACGACGCCGCACTTAAAGATCAAAATATTCGAGGAAATAACGATACCAGAATGGGAATTTATTTTCTTTTAGAACATTCTTTATTTCGAAGTGACTGTAMATTTTTGCTCTTGGCAGCTGTTAGATTCCGCCCACGAGGAAGACATTGATGTTGAAATAGAATTTTTTAATCTAATTTATTAGCTTTGGCCCTAGTATGGGCAGGGACACAGCAACAGCGTGAGCCAATTACTGCGGACCCTGTACTCTCACACTCACTACTACCTCTACATTAAGTATTTTATATTAGCACACAACACTCCTCAGGAAAACCTGAGGACCCGGAGAAAAACCCTCGTGGCAAAGGAGAGAATCGAACCCGGAATCGAACCCGGACCACACGGTGAGAGGCCAGTAGCTTAACCATTAGGCCACCCATGCCACCCAATATAATAATAAACGCCGCCCCCCTAATAGACGCCGCCCTCGAATAAACGCCGCAGCTGGATCGCGAAAAATGAAATAAACGCCGCGGCGTCTATTCGACTAAAAACGGTAATTACTTTAAAATTTCAGAATATATACAATGACCGTACGAATAGAAAACAAACTCGGCTTACGGTACCGTATGTATAGCCATTTGCCGTCTGAGTTGTTTGGCAGTTTTTTGGCGGTTTTGGCTAGATTTTGTTCTGGTTGTGGGTCGTTTTGATTGGTTTTGCAGTCGTTTTGGCTGGTTTTGGGTGGTTTTGGGTGGTTTTGGCTCGTTTTGGGTGGTTTTGGCTCGTTCCATGTTTTAGTAACTACGTTTCTTCTCCTTCCGAACGCCATATTTGTCGATACTACGACGATCAAAATCCTTTTCACTAGACAAAAGTATAAGTTTACTTATATTGTGAATGAATTATTCCAAGTCACACGAATACTGGAACTTGAAAACTGAGAAATCAGTCAATCAAAAGACTTATACAAAGAAATGGTTTACTTACATCGACAACTTTACTAACGCGATCTTGTCTAGTACATAGGATTTTCATTCTCGATTCTGATTGGCTACCGCGCGCTTTTACATCATTGAACGTGATTGGCTGGGGAACTCATGTCAACATGGCGGCTGAGAGGTGATTTTTACCATAACTTGTAGAATTCTCGCGCGCGCTGATTGGTCGAGAGCCGTTGTCGATCCTAGGACAGACCGATGAATGACGAGCGTGGTTCCACTTGAGTTTTGATCATTTTCTGACGTCATTTTCATTGTCGATAAGCGTAAAGTGCCACAGACAACGGGTCGTCTTGCCAACCAACTAACCATCCATCTTGAGGGTCAACGGGAAAATCGCAAAAGAAACACTTTTGAGCCATCTTATTTGTTCGAGGTAAAACTTTCTTTAGTAATGACTTTTAATTCGCGTTGTAAACAATTATCCGATAACAAAACGATCCGATAACAAAATTTTAAAAATGCTACAATCTTACAGAAATCTGTTGTTGATAGATAAAGCACATATAAATTAGCTAAACTTTAAAGTTTGAGCAAGTTTAAGGTGCTCTTTCACATGATGGGGTTATTGTTTCTGGAACCATTATTTAATTAGATTTGGAAGTTCGTACCCAGTCCCTTTTTCGTTTTGTTATCGGCCAATAATGAAAATTTTCTGATGCTCACTTCATTTTATACTCATCAGTAGGATTGAAATGTTTAAGTGATGACCCTCATTGGCTAAGTTTGGTGCGCATTGTATTTTATAATAAAAGATTTTGATTGATTGGCTTGATGACGCTATCTGTTTCCAGTAACTCATTGTTTCGGTAGAAACAGCCACGCATGTGCCATTCAAACTCTGGGTATAGTTTTATAAGATTTTTAATAGTTTTTTACCCGCGGCGAAATCATTCAATAAAGTATACTATATATCACCCTGATCACCCTGAGATCGATATTTCTAAGAAAAGTATAAAATTTTCCACGGTTGCGGTCAAATATCAACTCGTGAATCAAGTTTACACTTCTGTCAAAATCAACGCTCAACCTTCGTAGTAATTAATCTGTTAACATTATATATATACGTGACATGGTGTAAAAACAAAGTGCACGGATTTTATGAGATGATTCGCCGGGATCGTGTTAGTGTTACGATCAATTCCGCGAAGGCTCGATGCGCATTTCGCTTCTGTGATTTGCATTCTCTCTCTTTACATTCTCTACTCAAACAGAAACAACAGTGATTCCAATGCATAAAATATGCTTTCTTGAGACATTTATAGCTTTAAAATCACAATGTTTCTGCATCTATAAGACAGGATTTTACTGAAAGCTCTGCTGACGAAGGATGTGATACGTTTGTTTACGTGCGTCTCCATGACACTATCATCGATCAATCATCGAACAATGTTTATGAAACCATCCTTGTTTCAGGGATATTAAAAGACCTCAGATAAAGTTAACTATTCTACATTTTTATTTTTTAAGAACCAGTATGTACTGTTTGCGAGGAAATATGCCAGTCATTCAAGGGGCGATGGATTCGATGAACAACAGGCGTCCTTTTGTTTACGTACGTCTCCATGACACTATCATCGATCGATCATCGAACAATGTTTATGTACCCATCCTTGTTTCAAGGATATTAAAGACCTCAGATAAAGTTTACTCTTCTACATTTTCATTTTTTATCACTAGTATGTACCGTTTGCGAGGAAACATACCAGTCATTCAAGGGGCGATGGATCCGATGAACTACATACGTCCGGCTTTGCTCTCTATCGTTTCGTTGGGTCGGTAGTCTGTCAAAATTTAGCCTTGTCCAATAGTTTGTTTCAAAAACTTAATCACATTTCCGACCTAAAAACTTTAGAAGATACTTGTTTATAAAAATACGTTCTTTAGAAACGAATCTTACCATACTCATTCTAGTTCTGGTTATGTGTTGAATGAGAGTTTACTCACTCGTGATCATCGTAGTAATCGACAAATTGGCGATGTTCGGGATGTTTACCGCATGTTTAATAAAGTTAAAATAAGTTCAATCATCATCTAATATTTGAATTAAGTCTTTATATAAGATACTTGTGATTAAATGATGCTATATAATCATGTTATATAATGTTAAAAGAAGTAGCGAATCGACTGAACATTCGTAACGAATTGACTTTTTGCGTAACGAATTGACTGGTAGCGAATTGACTTCGGAACGAATTCACCGGATACCGACGTATACTCCAATATATTTTTGGAAACAAACTCCTTTGAGGATACTATGTATGCAAAGCAGAAATAACTTCATAATTTCTTATGCATTGGATTGCCCATTRTACAAGGTGGAATAAACCATGTTGTACACTGTATGATGCTTGGTTTAGTGATGACTGTGGATGTTTTAACAGCAAGCCCTAACATTCAGCACAATGACAAGGTTTGTAGAGGCGAATTCTCTGCCAAGTCTGTCATACATACAGTAACTTACCAGTTGAGAACATCATTCGTAATTGCTCAGCTTGATGCAAAATCAAAAACTAGCCAAATCTACTCTTCGTGTCACCATGTTTTACACTCTTCAGATTTGAATTGGAACAGATCAGTTGCCACGTTGGCAATGTAAGTCAACAGAAAGAGAGATTTTAGCTGCTCTGTCTTTAGGCAAGACACACTAAATGCATTAAAGACATATTTCCATATTTCCATTTTTCCATCTTTCTACACATTGGTGCCTGAAGGAGCTAAAACTAACTCTTCCTAATTAAGAACAAGGCATCSAGTTACAGGTGGTGTCACTATGGCTTTAAAGCAGGATGGTGTTGGCTCTCRAAAACATTGACCATATTTTTATCCTTCTTGACTAACTGGCTTAGAATGAATTACCCACCTTGACTGCCCGGTGGATTGCTGATTTCCTTACAAACTAAGAGCAAAGAGTTAAGTTATCTCAGGATTGTTACTCTGAGTGGAAGAGTGTTCCAGGTGGTGTCCCCCAAGGGATAAAACTCAGCCCTTGGCTGTTCGTAATCATGATCAATGATCTACATGTTGGGCATGCTGATTGTTGGAAGTACGTTGATGATACAATAATTGCCGAGACTGTCATCAAGAATGACATTAGTAATATGCAGTGTAGCAGATGACCTTGTTCAAGAAACTAAGGCAGATCGATTTCAACTTAATGAGTCAAAATGTAAAGAATTATGAATCACCTTTTCAAAATCCTGTAGTGCTTTTTCCCCTATAGTAATTAACAACAATTCTATAGAAGTTGCTTCACATGCCAAATTAGTTGGCCTGACTATTTCCAAAGACCTAAAATGGAACAACCATGTCTTACATGTAGRAGTCACCAGGAAGGCTGCATYTACTGWAGGCTGTATTTTTGAGGCAATTCAAGCGTGCAAAGGCAGATACTAAGGAGTTACTATGTTTTTATGTGACTTGCATAAGACCTGTAGCAGAATATACCTCGCCAGTTTTCAATAATAATTTACCTGCCTACCTCTCTAAGATGACCTTGAAAGAATACAAAAGCATGCTTTACGAATAATCTATTCTGACTTAAGTTATGCTGAAGCTCTTAAAGCTTCGAACCTGGTCTTAAGGCACAGTCGTAGGAAGCAATTAGCAGAATGCCTTTTCAGTGATATCGTGAAAGATCAKAATCATAATCTACATAACTTGCTGCCCTCTCTGAATAGTTGCTCAAGGCCACTAAAGGCACATTTGCAAATTCTGGATTCCAACCTTCAAGACAAATCGTTTTGAAAATAGTTTTATTATATCGCATGCAATCGATTTCACGGGTTTGTAGTTTTTGCCTTTTTGACTCAGTAGCCATGTCTTTCTTTTAAGTAAATAGTAAAATATTCTATATTTAGTATTTTAGTTATATAGTTTTTATACAGCCTTTTGCAAAAATTATGAGAATTGTCTAAATATCTAAATATCATAATATCCATATCCATATATTGTCCGGAACACGCGGGTTTGCTAGAATAATTCATTGTTGACATCGAGAAAATGTTCAGAACTACGGATAAGTCTGTCGCCAAAAAAAAACTAAACTACAAAGACAAGGGACTAAGGGCATCGCGCGGGATTACCCATCATGCACTCGATATTATGATATTTAGATATTTCAACAATTCTCATAATTTTTGCAAAAGGCTGTAT